TAACAGAAAAAATATTTTGCCTTTTAGTGTAAATAATATATGTGAAATATAAAGTTACTCAACATTATATTTAATTGATTGATGTCCTTCGAGATACATCACGTCTGAAAATCATCAATGACGTGCTATGAAATTTTTTATTCTTGTTGCTAAATTCCATCATCGTATTCATGTAAAAGTAACAAATATTTTATTCTTATTTGCATACGAAAAATGTTTCTTTTTAGCTTGAAAAATCTTCTCGTTATTCAGTAAATGCCTTCGATTCATATGATATCAGTGACATAGTTTGACATGTATTTGTTGAGGTTAATTTTGGTTTTCAATGAGTATTTACCACAAGAATTTCTTGCGGTTTCTGTTAAAATAAATTCAAATGAAATATGTAAATGCAATATGAATCAATTCAATTTTCGTTCACTCTTCTTTTATATATATATAGAATCAACCTTTATGTAATTTATTTATTCGTAGTGCATTTATTTAATCATATTCAAGTTGTTTAAATCCATCTCCGTTTACTATTGCTGTATTTGTTCTTTCATTAAAATTTCTTTGTCAATGCCAAACAGAGATATCCTATTTTCATTACACTTTATAGATATGTTCTTAAGAAATTAAATTAGTCCTTGATATTGCTCTGATTAAACATCAATGACTTTTATTGTTATTATCAACCGAATCAAATGATCGAACTAATCATTAATTCGTAAAACCATGAAAAATGAATAATATCTTAATGAAAGGGTTTTTGTCTGATTGAGTATATAAGAAAATTGTATAAGGATGATTCTCATTATAAAAATCATTTTTCGGGGTATTTCAAAAGTTTGCAATGAAAAAAAGCCTAGTTATCTGTTAACTAGTTAAAATGATTTATATTCTTTTTCAATATAATGATTACTAATTGTCAAATATTAATCACTCATCGTTTGAAAACGAAAAACACGAGTCGAATTTGCCATACAAACAGTATGACATCAAAACTTTAAAAAACATACTGTAGTATTGAAAATAAAATATTCATATCACTTGAACTATTTCAAAGCTATGCAAATCGCTTTTCACGGTAGAATTTTGTAGTATTCTGTAGTATTGATGATCTAAAATAATTTGGTTGAGATGGCCTTCAAATTCAATTGTTAATCAATAAATAATTTTACATATGTACGTATTTGTTTCTCAACAAACACGAATACCAATGATTCAACACAAAAAACAAACGATATGATTAATTTTTCATGTTATTTTCGCAGCGAAATGATATATTAAATAAGTTGCGGCATGAAAAAGATAAGGATTAATATATATGTTGAATGAAGACATTTCAAAATATTTGAAAAAAAAATAGTCAAACCAGGGATGTCCTCTCTATCTTGAAAAATTTACGCTTTTCTCCGGCAAATTGTCAGCATCTTATCGATTTTGCCTGAGTCATCGATTTCCTATCCCACCATAAATCCTGCTGAGTTTGGGACATACCTAAGTCAAGTCTTATATTATATGACAATGATATTATTTTATCTAATCTAATTTTGTCTCTTATTTATTTTCTATTTCAGCAATTTTATTATATTAAAATAGTAGACAGAGAATATTTTTTGTTTTACCATTGTCTTTTTACAAAATGAAGATATACAAACAAACATTATCTAATGCAATATTCAACGAGAAAAAGAACACAAAACAATTTGAACTTTTTTTTATCCTTTTATCATTATTTCTTTTATCTACACAAGTAAGCACCTATTATTTTCAAATACACATTATTCGAGAAAAAAAAAATACATAACTTTAACAAGAAATAAGATTTTCAACATGAGTATTGGTATCATTATAAACACGTTCTTTTGTTTGATTGGCATCAACAATAAGTATAGGAATTGATAAATTTGTACAATTTCGATGTATAAGCCATTCTTCATGACGTTCATGTAATGTTTGTAAATAATCAAGACTAATAGATTCTTCTTCTGATCGATGCCGTGCTTGAATACGTTGAAGACATGTTTCAGGTGTAGCTCGCAGATAAACTATGAATATTGAAAAAAAGAAAATTCTTTTATTTTTTTTTCTAAACAATCGATGAAAATAATACTTACTAATAAGATCAAGATGACATGAATCATTTGAAATAAGCATTTCAAACCAATCATTCAAAATTTCATATTCAGCACCTTGAATAATTTTGCTTGATAAGAAAAATATTGTCTTATTTTTAACTTCATTTAAAATGAAATTCTACCTGCGATATAAGTTTTCAACAAAACAATATCGAGCACTATAAATCGATCTTTCCATAACTTTAACAGGTGCTTTAGTGGGTCTAGCATGTAATTTTGCTAATGTCATTTGTGCATTAGCTTGAAAAGCAAAACCCCATCGATGCGGATCATCATAAAGCATTGCCTAGATGAATACAATCAATAAAATTTTATTTTAAATTTGATATTTACTAAAATATTATGTCCTTTTAAATTTGTCCAATTCTCAATTGGTTCAGCAACAACCTAAATTTAACAGAAAATTATATTTTATAGATAACAACATGAATTATTACATCACATAATGAAGAATTAGCTAGATGAGCAAGCACACTACTCTTTCTAAATATCAAAAAACAAATCTTATTTTTAGACAAAATCACTTTACAACGATCTTACCCTGAACCAATATTACCTTCAACAGCAATCTAAAGAAAGTAACAAATAATATTGATTGAATTCAAAGACTTAGAAAAAAAACTACTAACAGTAAATTTTTTGTTTGATGATGACATTCTTTAAGATTTACGGTATCCAATCAAACCTAAATATACATAATAATAATTTCTTTTTCTCTGAAGTAAACAAATCATAGAAAAAGTAACTGTAGTTTGACATAGTACGCATTCATTTAGCTGGTGCTACATAGTGAATACGTGGACACAATAAAGTTGGTGTTCCTCATTATCAAAATGTTCCATCTTCAGATATTATAGAACATCAGAAAATGAAAACACTTTTTTTTGATAATGAAGAATACCAACTTTAATGTTACCATATCAAACAATGAAACACAGTTGAATACCTGTTAAACGAATACTGACTTAGTATTTACATAATGCACACATAGAAATCCCTGGTTGTGGTTTTTATCGAAATATATTACACATTCTTAGCACATAGAGAAACGTGATCATTTTTGTACGATGAGTATTCTTTTTTTTCCTCTTTAAACATTCATGAGAAAAAAAACGAATGACTTACTATTTTAAAAAATGTGTTGATTGTTGAACATTGAAAATTGAACAATAAAAAAAAAAGATTTCACCTATACATCTTTTGTTCTTAGTACTAAACCAATAGAAAATAATCTTTCTGTTCATTTTTAATATTTTTCAATAATAAATCGAATTTCTTATATGTTTACATAACTCAATGACATTTTAAATAGTCAAACTAATTGAAATAAAAACCACAAAAAAGCGACCTCTTGTTTTTGTCTTTGATTTTAACGATTCATTTTCATTGATTTAAATCATTCACCATATTGGTCTTTGTTTTATTATTTAATTGAATTATTCAATCCAACGAATATGTTTTATTCTCGTTCAACACGACAAAGACCCTTTTCTTTTTCCATTATTAATGGTTGATCGCGTCAAAAACTAATGCATATATGCTTCTCACTTTTAATATATGTCATATATATAAATGTATTACACAATAAAAATCGTACAGACATCTTATGTCTTATTCATTGTATGGAATTTAATTTGACTTCATTTATTTGAAATCAATGAACAAAATGAAGTTTTAGATCTGAATGATATATTATGCATTATTATTTTCAAGATAGATATAATAAAATAAAAACAAAATATTTAAGAGTAGCAAGTATATCTATAACAATTGATATAATTCATGTTTTCATTGATAAACGAGAAGCTAATATGAAAATATTACTAAGTGAAAATGATATTTCTAGTATGAAATTCATCCGAATAGAGGTTTGAAATAATTTTAATCAAAATCATTTGATTTTATTTCGATATTCGTTGTTTTTTTTTTTTGTGTATAGACCGAAGGATATCAGAAATAAATGAAAAACCATTATGGATTCAATTCAAATCGGGGAAAAGATTAATGTGAAGAACGATTTGTTTTATAAAAATATACAATTAATAAAACCACTCCGTAATAGTTTTGACGAATGTCGATGATCAGAGAAAAAAAAAAAAGAAAAACCTATCAGAAAGTAAATTAAAATATTTCTTCTTTCCTTAATTTGTTTAATTATGAATAACAACAAAAAAAAAATGTAAATCTACATATGTAAAATACTTTTTTTTTTCTTTTCATGACAGCAAATATTCTCAACGATAGTTTTTTCGGTAAAAAAAAAAAGTAATAATAACACTGCTTTTCGTGTTAAGTTGTTGCTTTCTTTATTGAATTTATTCACTTCTCACTTTCAAGCACTACTATTGATTTTTACTAGTACTAATCATTAGTTTGTCAAACAGCTCAAATAAAAGTTTTCAATTTTTTCATTCTATAAAATATCTCGACTCGATGAAAATTTTGACGTAAAAATTCAAGTATTTGATTTAACAAGGGAAATCTCTGACACATAAGTACATGTGTCCTTTGAGATTCATTCTAATCTATTGTAAAAGCTTAAACTTGATTATCATTTGGGAATATGTCCTTTCATTAAAAATATTCGAATATAATTTATATTATATAGATCTCACTCTGCCTAAGTAATATGTTGGCCAATCATTTATGAATTATTTTTTTCTTTCTTTAAATATATACTTAAATCATATTTAATACGATAGAATATTCGAAAATTGCTTTTGAAGAACGAAAGAAGAAAAAAAAAAACTTATTTTCATTCAAAGAAAAAACGCTATCGATGAAAATGATACTCAATGATCGATCATAACATGAATAACGATTGTTGAATCAATACTTGAATCAAACAAATTTACTTGTTCATTATGAAATCTAGATATGGTTAAAAAATTTCAAGATTTATTAAAACAAAAATTTATTAAAAGTAATACTAAAGAAGGAGGTATGATATTCTCTTCAAAATTTAATAGGACTAATATCAGTTTTTTTTTAAAGGTGGAAGTATAAAAATATTTGGTGATGACTTAAATCCTTCTATACCTTGTAAAACATTTCTTCTATCAATAAAAGATACAGCAGAATGGATTGTTAAAGAAATGCTTGAAAAATATGGTTTAAAACATGAAGATCCACAAAATTATTGTTTACTACAAGTAAATAAATCTATATAAATTTGATTAATGAATATTTTTTCTTGTTTAAGATTATTATTCCACGACGTGAACAAATTGGTAATACAACTATTAAAGAAACCATACTTCATGATAAAGAATGTCCATTAAATATTTATTTACATCATTTACGAAAAAATCAAGGTGAAAAATTATTAAAAAACAAAAACAATAAAAAAACGCAATAAAAATTTTATATTAAAATAGGATCAATTATTTTTAAAGTAATTAAATGTCCACAAGAATACGTTGAAATTCGTAAACAATTTCGTACACAAGAAAAAAATTTAGATATAACTAAAATTCCATCAATTCAATATCGAACTATTGATGATCAATTTCCCATGTTTATTGAAATTAATCATGGTAAGATTTATTTTCTTATTTAAGTAAAAATTTTTTCTTAAGATTATTCTTTAGATGGCACTGATCTACTAACACCTCGTGTATTTAAACTTTATCTAAATACGACATACGTTGGCCATAATTCAAAATCAGCAATTGGCAAACAATACTTTTATGTAAATAATGTATCATAAAATAATTTAAATGACAAAATAATTTCATTTTAGATTGATGGTATTGATCGTGATCATTGTACAATAGAAAATCAAAATGGTACTGTCTCACTTATTCCACATGGTGAAATATGGTTGAATGGAAAACCTGTTTCAAAACCATTTATTCTTCAACATGGAGCAGTAATTCGTTTTGGACGAAATGCAACATTTTGTTATTGTGACCCGCAATTTATTCAAAAATCAAATCTAATCTCAGAACACAGAAAATCACAAAATGTAGATAAATTATTTGTATATGGTTCTTTACCGATACTACCCATGACTGGAGTAAATAAAATGAATAATTTTCAATCAAGTGTATTACATATTCAACCCAAAAAAACATCATCAACTAATATTATTGAACAAGGGTATTAAAGCAAGTTTTACTTTTATATTGAATTCGATTTTGAGATTCTTTTAGACCGAAGTTCAATGTTTTACCGGGATTATTAGAAGTTCCTGTTGAAAGTAAGATTCTATTGAATTGAATTTTACATCTAGATTTTATCAACTAATGAGAAAATCAATGAATTTTGTTTATATATGATTTCTAAAATAAAAATCATTCGAAACTCAAATTTTTTCTCTATTGTTAAAATTTCTAATAGTTAAAGCACAATCATAAAGGTATTTGTGAAGGAAGGATTCTACTATTCATAATCCAGAATTATGAATATTAACAAAGATAAACTATGTTGTTGATCGCCACGATTAAATTGAATACAAAAAAAGGAGATTTCATTTCGAATCATTTTTGATAGTTGTTTACGAAAAGATTAGTAGAAAAAATAAGCATTTATCTTACTCTCGAATTTTTCATGTTATATGAAATCATGATAGATATCATTTTCTTGATAATAATTAATTTCTAATAATTGAAAGGACTTCATATTTCTAACACCTTCTACTCACATGCATGAATTTACGACAGAAATCCGGCAATCAGTTTGACTGAGTGAACTTTGCGCAGTTATAATTGATTTTGACTAGAACGAAAAAATCCTATCACAGAATTCCTGCTGGACTTGACTATTTACTTAGGCAGTTCTGTATACTTTTTATTTCATCTTATGGATAGAATATTTGGATGTTCTTTTAGCTGAAATTCGATTTCTTCATGCTGTTTTTAATAATTATCCATTAAATAATATTCATTTTCGCTTATCACCTGTTTATACACTTTATATGGCGCTACGACATCGTCTGTCACCATATGGAAAATCATCTGTATCTTTTATGCAAAGACTAGAAGGTGTTGTCTCATTACTTCATTGTATTGAAGATATGATAAATAAGAAAATCGAAGTAAATATTTTTTTCTGCTTTAAATTGAATGAATAAATTTGTTTTTTGAAAAGGAATGTCAAGAACATGGTGGTTATCTTGCTTATTGGTTAGCAAATACATCCGAATTTGTTTATTTTCTAAAACATGATCGAGATTTATCAAAAATTTCTCATGATATACAAATTCGTTTAATTGAATCTATTCAACGCTTATTTTATTATCTAATAAATTGCTTAAAAAATGAGTTAGATAAATATTTAATTGCATTTACTAATCCACAAGACGATAATGAACATGATATTTATATTATATTGAATAATCCGAAAGTTTTAGAAGAAAATAATTTGACAAATTTAAAATTTTCCGATATACGTTGGATAACAATCGATAGAAATACAAATCAATATCATCAATCAACATTAAATGATATACTTGCAACATTTTCATCAATAATGAATTTATTACGTAAATGTCGTGTAAATGTTGCATTAACAATACAAATATTTTCACAAATATTTCATTATATAAATACATGGTTATTTAATCGAATTGTTTGTTGTCCAGATTTAAAATTATGCTCATATGTTTGGGGAGAAAAATTATTATTTCGATTAAAATCTATTCATAATTGGGCAGAAAAACAAGGTTTAGAATTAGCATCAGAATGTCATTTAATCAAAGTAAATCAACTATGTCAATTATTAAAAAGTTCGAAAAGTGATGTGCATGATGTACAACAATTATTATTGAATAAGACATTTAAAATTAATTCCATACAAATAACACAAATATTGAATAATTATATTTTGAGTAAAAAGGAACCATCAATTTCAAATAGTTTTCGTGAAGCGTAAGTTTAACAAAACAACAAGAAAATCGAATACATAAATCTTGACAAGATATATGGTTATCGCGTTGATTTATTCGACACGAAAGATACATCAAAGAGAAAAATCTTTTAAGATCAAAAAGAAACTGTTTCAAAAGGAAATGTAGACTTTATAAAAGAAGAGGCATCGTCTTGCTTCCCTTCTTTTCGAATGCTATGCTACGACGGACATATTCTGATTTTATAACAACACTGAACTTTCTACTCATGGAGTTTCTGTTATTTCTATCAGCTATTAAATATAAACAAAAATATTTCTGATTTTCATACAACATGATCCCAATACTCATATTCTATTCGATCATATATGCATGTAATGGTATTCTTATTAGACTTGAAATCTGATGAAAGAAAGTCTTGAATACCAATTTGTAAAACACAATAATCTTCTATGCTACTTCAAATTTTTGACATGATACGAATGAAAGTAAACCGCAGATTGAGATGTGGAGGAAGCAGTTTTGGCTTCGTTCCTTAGAAATTTCGAAGCTTGAGAAAAAAATTATTCGAACTGGATCTAAACATCGTAGTTAAATAGTCTATAGTTTCAGAGAAGTATTTTATAAATCAAATCAATTGTAATAGTACTTCGAAAAGATGACTCAAGCAAAGAATGATCATCGGCTGAATAAATAGAAAAGGAGCAAATATTTAAGAATACTTTGAATTTGATACGAATAAATTCATAAATAGGTTTTTCTAGGTCGATGTTAGATCAGATTTATCAGCACTATGACCGGAGTGACTATCGTAAAGCCTTCAAAAAAAAATGCATGAAAATAGTCTTCCATTTTGATGTAGTTTTGCTTTTTGATCTGATCTTCAGAGAGAGGAGTCTCAGATCTATAGCTCAAAACACCATTAAGGTTACTATCTTCTCATATTTCAACGTTAGGGAACCCAAATCCCATATATACTCAGTCAAATTATATAGAATTCTATTGATTTTAACTCAAATTTCTTTGAAACGAAGCATTATGTTTATACATGTTTTTCAATTGTTTTCGAAAGTGATAGGTTTCGAAATAAATTTGTTTGATATAATATCCGACGAAAACACATCAGGAGTTCTCTTCTCTCGATTATTGAAAACTACAAATCATTAGTTATTGTCGTTGTCGAGTTATTGACTTAATACCTATCTTTCTGTAATGCTTGTGCAGACATTAGTATAGTAATACTAAAATATTCAAAATCAAGGCATAATTTAAATTTTCTTCAAATCCTATTCTATAGATACGAGTTTTAATTTGGTTTTGTAAAAAGTATCATCCGCCTTTCGGTTTTTACATATTGAATATTACATTCATCGAATTATATAAATCGATATGTATTGTATGGAAAAATCACTTTCTTATATAAACTTTTATTCTAAAATAAAAAATAAACTTTATTCCAAGAAAAGTTATCTATTCAAAACAGTCATTTTGTATCTTTCATTATTTTTAATTAATCGGATTTTGAATGTGAAACTTTTTTTTAATTTAGTCTTCTTTCCATTGCTTATAAACATGTTGATGAAAATTTACATCGTGAAGGTTTTACGATTCAATTAGCTGAAGAACCTAGTTTAACATTGCCATTTTTATTTCCGGAAGATGGTTATACATGTGAAAATTTACGCGGCATACCCGAAAAATTGTTTGAATTTATTGAACCCATGAGTCGATCAGCATTATGTCGTTTATTTACGAATTCATATAGTTTTGGATTGTGGACTGAATTTATGCAAACATCAATAGTAAACAAAAAAATTTTTTATCGTATTTATTTGATTTCATATATTTAGATTGAAAATAATAATAATGAGAATGATAGAATAGAAACGATTATATTAAATAAAAAAGGAAATAATCTTGGTTTAAGTATTGTTTCAGCGAAAGTAAGAAAATGATTAAATTAAACGAGATTTTAAAGAGAAAAAAATTCATTTTTCCTTTAGAGTGTATCTCAACCATATCAAGGTGTTTATATAAAAAGTATTATACCAGGTAGTGCGGCAGAAGATGATGGACGTCTTCAACCAGGTGATCAAATCCTTTGTGTTGATGAAATCACTCTTATTGATAAAACACCAGAACAGTAAAAAGAAAAAGAAAGAAACAAATTCAACATTTTTTCGATTTTATTTTATATTTTTCAGAGCTGCTGAAGCACTTAAACGATGTGGACCTTCAGTTATCTTACAAATACGAAAAGATGCAGCTAATCATCATGGTCTTGGAACTCTACTTACTTCGCCATCGGATAACCATCATGAATTTACTCGTTTATATTCCGCATCAAATCCTTCATTATTATCAGATCAATATCCACATTCGGCACTTACGTTACAGACAACTAATAGTCATGAACGATTATCAACTGCCCAACAACATTTTACTACTCGTATTCAACATGATCAATTAAATCCATCAGTAGGTCAACCTTGTATAAAAAAGGTATCATTTTCTCATGAAATAACTAATCATCAACAGCAATCAATACCATCATTAGATTTAACTTCAAATGATCAAACAAATTCTCACATATCACAACAATATCTATCCAATCCATATCTATTTAATTCAAAACAAAAAAATGAACAAATATTAGATAATTATAGAAATAGTTTTCAACTAACAGATTTTATTCGATCACATAGTCAAACACAATCATTGACTAATCAAAATATGTCTTCAGTTAAATCACTAGTCTTTCGAGAAGATATGCCATTAAATCAAAATCAAAATCATCGAATAAAATCAACGATACCACCTAAAACATTACCAAAGCCAATTATTAATAATCTTGTATTAATAAAACAACGTTCTTCAGTAAGCTATCGTTATAAAATTAAAGAAAAAGGAATCATAGAAATTTTCCTTTTTATTTTTTGTTAGACAAATGATGTTGATATTAGTAATAGTTTATCAAAACCAAATTTATCCATATCATCTGATCATTCAACATCATCAATAGGGTAAATTAAAAAAATTTATTCTTTCTTCAAACATTATTTAAAATCATAATTTTTCCGTCAGATGTCTCGATTGTGTAATAGAAATTTTATACCAATCGATTGAATCTTACATTAACGTTGGAACTAACAGAAATATTTCACCTTCCGATTTCAATAAGGTTTTGCATAGAAATATTGCATAATATTCTGATGAAAAACCTAGAAGCATTTGATTTTTTATCGAAATTTTGATTAAGCATATTTTTCCCAGAATCCTTCAGGACAATAGGCTTTCAAATTTTACTTTAAAACTATCTTCATTGAAAGATCTAACATATAATAGTCTATATAGAGAATTTTAGATTAACGAGAGGACTTATTCAGTTACGATTCTCTATAAAACAATTTATACCATTAGATTTTTTTTCTCAAATTGTGCACATGTTACTGAATTTTCAGCATATTGCCGAATATTACGAAAACAAAATAGCAATAAGGAATTTCCACCTGAAAGCTTCTGTTCAAACAGATGTTTATCTTCTCAGATAACACATTTACAAAAGAAAACTTCAATTTTGGACAACAGCTCTGAAAATAGTTCATTTTTTCAGACATCGCATGTATTCAGAAGAAATTGTTCGTTTGAGTCGAAACTTCAAAAATATCATAAGAACCGTGAGATCTATTATTAGTGTGATATAATTCCTTCTAGTAAACTACGTCTTTTTTATTCGGTAGATAGACATATCTTTTTTCAGATGAGACAAAGAAATTTTGTATTTTCCCTATCATATCAAGTCAATCATGGGTTTTTGTAGAAAATCTTGCCTAAGATTTTTGAAGTTTTAAGATGTTCAGAAAACTGAATATTGAATGAAATAGATATTAAGAAAAAAAACTTTGTGACATTCGAAGTGATAAGAAGTTCTATTTCAAATAAGAGTAGCTCGAGTGCTATAGCTTAATGTGTATTAATCAAAAATAACATTTACATATGTTACACCATGACTGTTGGAAACTTCTTGAACAGTTACGTTCGGAACCGTGAAATTTTTTATATTGTGTGCCCTTTTATTGTTCGAACATCTTCAGAATGTTCCATGACTATCCCGCAAACTTTGTCGAAAATCAATTTCACAAGCGGGGGTACTGGCTTGACGGAAAAGAATTTTGAAAAAGATACAGAGATATTTTATATTTGCCATTCTTATTTCTATTTAAAGAAAATTTGAAATTGAACAACAAGAATTATCAAAAGTTGCAAATACAAATCAAAATAATATAAACGAAATACGATTAAAACGCATGAATGATTTAATAACTAAACTCAATCGTACAGAACAAGAAGAAAAAGAGTTAAAGTATGTTTAACAAAAATATATTCTAAATTCATCATATAATTTTTATAGTAATTTAAAATTAGACAATGAATTTGATTGTTGTGTTGAAGAATTTTATTCTCAAATAAATAAAAACAATAATCAAGAAGTATGTATCATCATCACTAATCATACAATGAAAAACATTTACTTTTCGTCTTTTATAGACCTATTCTCAATTACAAAATTGTACAGATGAAATGAATCACTTTGATGAAAAGTAAAAAGTTCTTCAATATTTAGTTTTAATTTTTAAAAAGTTCTATTATTTTTTTTTTCAGATTAAAACGTCGTTTAGAACAATTCGACCAAGAACGACAAATCGAACGAGCACATATTAATCAAATGTTTACTAAAAATAAACTTGATACTGAAGCACGTTTACGTAAAGAGCGAGTATGGATTTTCACTTTTCATTGATTCTTTTCTAACTAAACTATTTTACATATTTGAGGAACGTGAAATTCGTGCCGATCATGAAATGCAAGAATTTAAAACTCGACGAATGTCAGAAGACGAACGAATGCTTGAAGCTAAAAGAGAACAAGCTCGTTTATTAAAACATATTGTAAATGATGAATCGAAGCTAAAATTTCAATAAATTCTATTTTTAATTTATTTAGCGTTTTCCTAATTCAAGAATAAAAGATGATCAATTATCAAATATTGACGAGAATGAACATATAATCACTGAATTTGATTCAAATAATAAGAATTCATTTCTTCAACGAAGTTCATCTATTTTTGATGAACAAGAAACTTATATAGAACCATGCTAACATATAAAATATTTTCAACAAGAAAGTGACAATGAAAAAAAAAAATAATGTCATTTTAAGACAGATTAAAATTTGTTTGGTTTTTCTTAATTCACTGGACAATTTTGAATAATAAAAGATTTTCTTATGTTTTATTTTTTCTTTTTTTTTTTTTTAATAATCGTCAATCACACACTTTTCTCTTTTTTTTTTACGTTTGTCTTTTGTTTTCTTTATTTATAATGAAAATAAATATTGTCTATTACTCAGATTTTTTTTCGGTCATCATGGCTATGATTAATGATTGTGATCACAATTTACTTGTATGGATTGATTTGGAAATGAGTGGACTTGATTTAAATATACATACAATCGTCGAAATAGCAATAGCAATTACTGATTTTCATCTTAAAAATTATATTGAAGGTTGGTATTTAGTTGAAATCAAAAAAAATTATTTTCTTTACTATATATTTTATATTAGGTCCAGATATTGTTATTCATCATGATCAGGATGTACTTGATAGAATGAATGATTGGTCAAGAGAACAACACACTAAATCAGGATTAATTGAATTAATTCGACAAAGTCAAATATCATTATATGATGCTGAAACAACAGTTATTGATTTTCTTAAACGTTATTGTGCTTCCGGTTCTGGAATTCTAGCTGGAAATTCAGTTTTTGTTGATCGATGGCAAGTTTTCTTATTATTCGGAAGGATTCATAAGAATAATATACGATAAATTTTATCGGATTCAAAGAAGTTACATACAATACTGGATGACATTTAAAAAAAAAATTATTTCAACCAAAGATCATTACAGGAGAATTCTTTTCTTTTATGTTGACCTTGAGACAGAACAAAAAAATCTTCATCAGCCATTTTCAGGTAGAACCTATCTGGCCCAACATTGTTGGCTATGGACATGAATCTAAGTCATACTCCTAACTCTGACAATCATTCTGCTACTAACACACTCTATACATTTTTTGCACAATCTTGACGATGATCTTATAATGATCAAGTCATCATAAGCTTTTATCTTTAGAGTTTTGCCCATTGGCTCAATTCTACATTTGGTCAACAGAAAATTTTCAGGTCGACGTTCGAAACCATTTCGATGGACTCTATTTTCAGAACAGGGTAAAAGAATGTCATTTGATGATCTTTGTTTTCAATCGAGTTCATTGTCTTTCATAAGTATTCAAAGAAAAAGGGAATCCATATAAATCGATAGAGAAGAATATGGCCTACATTTTGGTAAATAGAATTTTTAAAAATCAATTGACCTTTGAACTAATGTAACTAGTTTTCAACATGCACATTGCATGTGAACTCTTACAAGGGTTTCTTCTTTTCAAATATTAACTATGAAACAACGTCAGACACTGTGCAAAATAGAAGCCTATTGAAAATTTCACCAACAAACATTTGGATAGTCTTTGATGGATAACTTTCTGATATTAGTACAGTGTCTGTAATTATTATGAATCCAATATTGGAATAAGCAAAATGATTATTTTAGTAAAATACGAAGAGTTTATATTAAATGTATGTTGTAAAGAAAAATACTTCATTGGCTAATTTGTTTAAAAAAGATTTTATTTACCAAAATTTTACTCATGTTCTCATCCATCTATTTATATGGATTCAGCTTTTTTTGAGAATACTTATGAAAGAAGATTAACTCAAATGAAAAGTTCGTTCAAAAAACAATGCGGTCCATTAATATATGTCCCTGGATTAAACTAAGTACAATTTTCAAAGACTTGTTTAAAAATAATATTATTAAAGAAAATTCAATGTCGATCATATTTGAGTTCCAATAATAGATAATACTGAATAAACTATAATCAAGTCAAAGTTTTCGACACGTAATCTAAGCTGATACGATGACAAAAAAAATTATTTAAGTAAATAGTCATAGACAAATGTTCTAATCATGTTACATAACAAAATAATAGTTGTAAAGATGAATGTCCCTTTTTAAAAATATTCTTAAAGATTATCTTTAAAAAAAATATGATTTTCTTTCAAATAACTTTAGGTTTATTGAAAAATATATGCCACGTCTCAATGGAATTCTTCATCCAAGTATTGTTGATTGTATGTATAGATATCGTTTGTTTTTTTTTTTTAATTTTTAAAAGTTAAACATTTCAACTGAATGAATATTTAAGGTAGTACTTTGAAAGAATTAACATTACGTTGGCAACCTGTGCGATATACTAAACGACCTCACAAACAAATGATGCATCGAGCACGTGATGATATACGAGAATCGATTAATGAACTTAATCATTATCGACAACAGTAATAATAAAATTCTATTTTTGTTTTGCATCTGTTCTAAATATATATTTAATATATAATCATAGTAATTTCTATCTCGGTTGGCATGCTATTCGCCATCCACCTTATCTTCCTGCATCTATTTTGTCAAATCCTCGTACACATTTAGTTTGGTTAAAAACTGATTGTGATCAAGTCAATCATGTATATGTAATAATAACCGATGGAAATCTTAATATTTTAAATGATATTTATCTTGATATGAATGATAAATGCAATCAATATTCTTTATTAGTTGGTTTTTTACATAAAAATATTTTAGTTAATCGAAGTTCTCCTATTTGTGGTCAATGTGTTCATATTGATCGTGCTAGAATACAACGTGTTATACCTGAATTTCTTTCATGTTGTCATTATCGAAGTATTGATGTCGATGTTTTAAATGTTCTTTGTCGAAGATGGGCTCGAAAAGTATACGAAAATCGACCGTAGGTTTAATTTTATTGAAAAATTTCTTCATATTTATTGATTTATTCTAGAATAATATATGCTGATTCAAATAATCTTGTAGCAGAATTGCAAGGATATATTCAATTGTTACAATATTATCGTGCTAATGTATTCAAATTCGATCTTTTTGATCAAGAAAAACAGTCATAAATAAATAAAATGAAAAAGGAAAGAGAATGCGTATATTGTAAACAATAGCTAAAAACAAAAGAGATGTTGATGAATAAAAGATAAAAGATAGAAAGCAAAAAATGAACGTGTTTATAAACTATAATATCAAGTATTCGATAAGACATAGACTTAACAATGTTGCCCTATCATAAAATAAGAAACAAGTAAGAGCGGTCATCATCTCTATCTTTATCATAAAGCTATTATAAAATGACAAGCGTTTGTGAAAATATTGGTAAGAAGTAGAGATATTACGTGTGTAAATACAATTCATTGTCAAGTTTATTAAGTTAGTAGAATGATGACAGAGATAAAATTGTTTTTGTTTTTTTTGAAATTTATTGTTTAATTAAAATTTTAAATAGATTCTCTTCAATTATACAATATTTAAAAAATTTATTATAAACAATCAAATGAAAATCTATACATTAACGCGCATTTCTAGAAAAGAAAATTTATCAGTATTTTCGACTGAGTTTGTCTTTTACACAAGTAGAATTGATGATAGTTTTCTTTTTTAATACGATACTATTGATTATCTATATCGTAATTATTTTCATTACTTTTATTGTTCATAAATTTATTTTATTTTTTGTAATTAAAAAATATTTTTCATGGTTTACATTGTATATTATTATTATGAGTCTATTATCAATCAATGATCTTCTATTAGATTTTATCTATGAACATATTTCGAATAACTTCATATATATTCTTTTCACTATTGATGGTATTTTAACTGGTACTCTTCTTGCATTTATTGTACTAATTTATTCATATTCATGGTCGATTTTTCATATCTTTCTTACAACAATAATTATTTTAATTTCCAATTATTATCAATTAAATAAATTAAAAAAAGATTCTTTAATAAATGATTTTCAAAAAAATTTTATTCTTATTGTGATTAATTTTTTACATATTGTCTATTGTATCTTGAATGGTTTGCAAACATATATGCATCGTATCATAGCACTTAGTGGCATGTGTATATCCTTTTATATAATATTGTTTCAACAATTTAACATTGAATTTAAAATTCCAATGCCAATCGTTATTATGCATTTTGTACAATCGATTCGAAGTTTTTTTCTTTATTCAGTTGTCATTTGTGTTCGTAATCGAACGGCGTATTGGTAGAAATGATTTTTTTTTCTTCTTTTTGAAGAAGTAGGAAAAGAAAAAAAAATCGAAACGTTATATGATGTTGTTTTTTCAAGCAACAACACCTACTCAATCGGTACTGTTTTGCTGTAGCGAAGCAGAAGAGAGAAAGAAAGAATAAAGAGAGTGAATTTGTTTCGTATGGCTTTTTTTCTTCATTTTTTTGTCAAGTGTCTGATTAATAATTCTAGAAAGAAAGCAAACTGGAGTCATGTTTTCTTTTCACATGTACATGTGAGGCATTCTGTTTTTCTGTTTTGGTTCTTGTTCTCATTATCATGATTATTATCGGATGAGATAATTTATGAGTTCATCTCGTTTTATTATTCTTGTATATGTCATGAGATAAGAGAGACTGCCCTGAAATTCTTTATGACATTCATTCGAATGACTTGTTTTGAAACAAATGTCAGATAGCTTTGATGCACATGGCATGCTGTATATCGTAGGTTTAGTCAACTGAGTGTCAAGTGTCAAACACGAAAAAAAACTGTCCAATAACAAAACGATAAATATAACGGTTTTTTTTTTTCTAATTTTTCTTCTATTGTATTTGAATTATTTTTTATTAGTATCTATAGATATGTTCAATGGCTCTAAATAAATTATCAAGACCAAAAATATTTCGTGTTGATTATTGTGGTTGTACAGCAGCAGCATTACTTTTAAATGATCAAACCATACGAGATGCTATTGATTTTATACGTCAAGTAAAAACAAAACGTGATTTTATTAAAACAAATCTAACAGTATTGAAAGATGGCATCAAAATTACATATGATGATCAACAAAAGTTTTCTACTATTGTACCATCAACCATGATTGCTGCTTCAGCTGTTAGTAAAACACCGCATGATGATACTGTTGGTATGTTATTGCATGTTGAATAAAAAATTTAATTTATTTATAAATTTTTATATTTAATTAGGTGTTATTTATATTTCACCATTGAATGGTCAACATTATCCAGCATTTGTTCATGTGTATCGATGTGATTCATCACGTACTGCTCAAAAACTTTCATCTCGTCTTTGTGCATATCTGCTTGTTGAAAGTCATCGTCTCCAAATAATTGAATTAGAACAGCAATTACTTGATCGTAATTTATTGAATATAGATTATTTTAATGCGAGAAAATCACAAAAAACAAATATAGGTACTTCATTGTCATCAGCAAGTAGTGATAGCCGACAAGAAAAAATACCAGATCCGATTAAATCAATTACAGAAGAGCTTCAAAAGAAAATTAATTCACAAGAACCCATTCTATTTCCTCCGAAAGATTATGATACAATACATGCTGCTCATGGAAATATTCAACGAGCTCAAGCATGGCGAAGTACAGAGGTAAGAAAAAAAATCTATTTGTATTAGATCACTATTTTGTACATACACATTCATATGTGCAAGGTTATCTTACGTTCTCTGATCAATCAATAGCTCATTTAATTTATTGAGCGAAGTGGGACACTTCAAAAAAAAAAAAAAAGAAATCCTTGTTGGCGTCAGTATATAGAAAGAGAAAAGTAAATTTAGTAAGCGATTACCTTCCTTTCGTATTCGTGATCTGAGGGCATCCGCCGGTGTCGTTGTCGCCGTCTCTTTGTCATCTTCTGTTGAACAAGCATACATATTTTCTTTCTGGCTGTCTCTTATCCTCCATTTTAAATTCAGCAACAATATTTTGATCACATCACCATTCATTCATCGAAAGATTAGCATATATTCTTCTTTATTCTATATGTCTAAGCAGTAGTAAATGACCGTCTCTTTTTAAACGTATTGTTTGAATCATATGATATAATCATTCAACATGGTACGTGTTAAACATGAAATGCATAGATCAACAAATTTGACAACACTTTTCACAGCTAAATTACGTTCCAATTTTGGCATGTGTTTTGGGTTTAAGGTGATCAAGACTTTAATTGAACTACACAAAAAAAAACACTTAAGAACTAAAAACTATGCAAATTCAATTTAATTTCTTTTAGCCCGCAATTATTGGTTACTCACCAATTAATTCAGATGATAATCGAACACGACAGAATCTACAGACGAATGCTCTTCCAATAAATGACGAACGTAAGAATAAAGTTGTTATTGACAACAATAATGAGAGATCTGGTTTACTGACTCATCGAAGTGATGCTACGGTTGATCCGGTATAAAAATTTATTAATTGATCATTTACGTGATAATCATCGATATATTTTTTTTTTCATATAGGTAGAAGCTGTTAGTTTGGCTTTCGATTTTCTCAAAGATGAGACAAGTTCAATTTTTACTGATAATGATGGTAATATTGAACATCTTGAAATGCAACAACCCACTAAACCACCAGTTTATCGTTTTCGACCACCACAAATCACTGCTGTTACTAAGTGTGTATTACATTGTCCTTGCAATTTTTTTCTATGTGACAATCGATATTTTCTCTAGAAAATTATTTAATCGTAACAATAATTATGAATTAACAAATGGTTTACCACAATCAAATGCATCATCAAGAAATGATCTCGATGCCTATAACAATAACAACGACAATAATAATTATTATTATAATAATAATTATAATAATAACAATAATAATAATCATTTTATTCAAAATAAAAATCGAAGTCGTTCTGAAATGCGTTTAGATTATGATCAACAACAACAGAATTTACATCATAATCCCTTTTATGAAAGTCGTCTTGTGAAAGGAAGTGGTGCTGCAATTACAATGAATCCAATTTGGTCAGCTCAATCACCTAATATGGTATCTTCTCAACCCAATTTATTATCAGATCAAAATCTTATTGATTCAACAGCATTTCATCGTCAATTATCGCCACAGATGGAACCACGAGTATCTTCTATACCTATACAACAATCTCTTTATGCAAGCTATCCAGATAATAAATCAGGTATGATGAGACAACAGCAAGAAAATCAACAAAAACGACCATTACCTACACAACATCAATCCAACAGAAAACAAGGAGCGCAATCACAGTATCTTGATACAAATGAATTTATTTTACGCGCATCCAATGGTCAACCATTGAGACATGTTCAATATCCAAATCGACATATTGCAAGAGATTATCGACCTCATTCAATGAATGATAATGGTACCAATGGTGTTATGCTTGATGTGTACTATTAATTTTTGTTCTTTTTTTTTTTTTTTTTTTTTTTTTTTACAAATTTATATTCATTTTTGTTTTCGAAACAACAGTGAGATGGTTATCTACCTGTGTACCTGCGTAGCCTTTACTAAGCCGAATGAAACAAGGTGTATTTTTTTTTTGACATATTGCTTGTTCAGATTGATCATTATTGCACTATTACCAAACATATGCCTCATTTTCCGAATAGTACTTTATTACTTTCCATGTACTTTTCAATTACTAATAAGAAAAATAAAATATATATATATATACATATATTTGTCAGTATAATTTATTTCCATCAAACGTCTATTTCATTATTGCTTTATTTCTATTCTGGCACAATAGACAATACATATCGTAGCATAGTTATTTTCTTTGCATCGATGAAAAATATGTGTATATACATTTTAAATATAGAAAATTATTTTATGTTAGACAATAATTAACAATCAGTCTGAAGTTTATACGAAAGATAAAGATGATCATTTATATTCAAAGATTCATATCTATTGAGAGTAGAAAATTCTTATGTATGCATTTCACATTCAAAAACATCTATAAAAACTTAAATGCTGCTAATAAATATATATCTTCTTGTTTTCTAAATTAACTTAACAAGCTTTTTTTTCTTAAACCAAAGAGCTGTTACGTTGTTCCCTTTTAAACGTTGATTGTTTTCATAAATTTTGTTCGAATATCATTTAGCTGTATGAATCAAAGAGAAGAAAAATACAATAGGAAATTCTATTAGATGAATCAGTGCATTCTCAGATAATATTCAATCCACTGTCATTACTTACACTCGCTGTTTTTATCTCAATAGCGAGGTAGGAAATACAGTGAAACGAAAATCTGAATTTGTCTTCAAAAAAAAAAAAAAAAAAAAAAAAAAATTTAGAAGATTGATTGAGAATTTGACGACTATCCAATGATGCATCGCTCATTCATGTATCAGAGCGAGGTATAACTGAACAGTTGTCTCATTGACATTCACACTACAAATCAGGTCAACTAATAATGATGCTAATGACTGTCTGTTATACTTCGCTGATTATCATTTCGCATAGCGTGGCACAAGCAGAACAGTAGTTAACACGCATCATTGTTCAAATCAATTTAAATACATAAAAAAAAAATATTCTTACATGCATTGTCACCGTCCTTGTATCTCCCTAGTTTTTTCACAATACTCAAGGGAGGCACATTGAACAGTGAAAGTGCATAAAGAGCTTGTTGATGATGATAAAACAACGTACACAAGTCAACGCATACGCAGAATAAACTATCGACGCATTTCTCAAAGGTGATGACCATATCAGAAAGAAAATTGCTTTTTACACTAAATCATTTTCTTATGGCCTCGACCAGCATGTATAACCTAATGAAAGCATTACTCCATCTTTTTATATATCGTGATCGACGGACGAATGTGAAGCAGTAATAGAAGAAGAAAATAATGTCATCAAGAAAGTGAGAGAGTGATACGTCCACAATGAAAAGAAAGAATAGATACGAATATCCCTGGATATCGTGTATAGATGTCGTCAAATACATATATAGGTTAAGAACATATGTTAACAAAGTTACGTTTCTACTCTCTAATTCTTTATCGAGAAATAACTTAAAAGTTGTATAATTATTGGACTTGTTGACAGTAACATTTCTGTTTGTTTTGATATCTTTGAGAAAATCAAAATGCATATATTTTATTTTTATATTATTGAAGTATAAAAAAGACAGATCACCAAGTTTCATCACGAACTATTCGTCTGTATAAATTTGTTTTCATTAGGAATGTGAATACATAAAAAAAGAAAAAAAGAAGCGAAGTTAGTAACAAATTATCTAGACATGATTCACTTTCAAACACATTTGTTTTAATTATAAACAAAAAGAAATATAATTTCCTTTTCGAGACAATACACTGGAGTAGTAAGAAGACAAAGAGAAGATACTGTTAGACATATGGAAAGGCAAAAGACAAAATTTTATAAGTGTGTGTGAATTTCATTTGTTGTTGATTCTTCATCATTAATGTATGCCGGATTTTCTTCTGAGCAAATTGTAGTCGAATGAATTTCTTCATCACCATCATCATTGATTACTTCGATATCACTCACATCTTCAACTGTAGAACGTGCAGATACATTCGTATTATCAGTTGTACCACCAATAGAACCAACAAAAAAATTAGCAACACGTGGTGTTGTTGAAGTTTCATGTATACTGCCGTATCGTCGAGGATTTGATGGTCTATCGAAAGTAAGTCCTATTGTTGTTGTAAGATTTGTTGATGTTGTTCCTAGTGATGAAGATGAATTTTCAACATCATCTACTGATTCATTTGTGGCAAAGGAAACATTATGTATACCTCTACCGGATGGATTAAGCAATCGACGTTCTACAATGAAGATAGTCTTTTTTATTATTTTTATTGATTTGATTATAAAAATTTTACCAGACGATTGTTGACTTGTTGATGCATCTGTTGTTGAATTATTATCATTTGCATATACCAATGGTGTTTGTTCTGTTGGTGTTCTTGCTTGTTGATGAATATCACTTTCTTCTTCATCGGGATTATCATGATCAGAAAATACATAACGTTTACATACCGGACATTGACGTCGATTATTTATTAACCATGGATCAATACATTTCATATGATATGCTACAAATAAATAAAACAAATTCATAAGAAAGAAAAGAAGTTTTTAAATCAAAATTGCATACCATGATCGCAAGGCAAAATACGTAATTTAGCTCCATCTTCATAATCATCCAAGCAAATAGCACATACTTCCCATGGGTCACCTTTAACAAATTTTTTTATTTTTAATTGTTTAAGTGCTGATCGTGGTAAACGATGACGACGTTCCTGACGTCGTTGTAAACAAACTTTTACCAACTAAATTAAAATTTCATCCTCAATTCTTTTCTTTTTAATTATAAACACAAAATCTTACTACGAAACCAATAAGACCAAGAATTGTAAACGAAATAATCACAGCAATTGGTACTAAATAAGCAGTCACTGGTAATGATTGTTCTGGCGTTATTTTTACATGATATCTATTTGAAGACGAAAATCGAAAGAGGATTTTTCAAAACGATAAAAGAATAAAAACAAGAAATTTACGTTGGAGTTGAATTAAATGTAGTTTTATTAAACAAATAATAAGAAATCAATGTTAAACCGCTAGTACGGGTAATTAATGTTGATGGTATACGAACATCTAAATTTATAAGAATGAATATTAAATTTAATTTAGTCTATTTTCTTACTTCTTCCCGATGATCCCATAGTAATTATTGTATCATCATAATTATATATAATAACAGCACTAAAATTTGCATTTTGAGCATTTTGTACCTTGAAATATCAGGAAATAAAACTATATAGAAAGAAAAATTTGGAATTTACCTTAAGAGCAAATTCACATGAGTTATTTCCTCGTGTTCGAGGAATAAGTGCAATCCAATGATAGCCAAATGTTGGAATATTTGGTGGTGGTAATATTTTTTTACATCCATTTTCTGGCTCGGTTGTCGTAATATAACCCTATTGTTTTCAATATTAGTACAAAAATAAAACAGTTTAATAATAAAGTCAAATTTTACTTTTAATCCGCCTGTTGGAAATGATGGTCCAAAACTAGCTGATTGATCATCAAAATCTTTGATTAATTGATTTGAAGCATTATACTATGAAAATAAAAATATAAGATCTTTATATTAAATAAACAGTTGTTTTCTATCATACCACAGAAACATCCGATAAAGCGATTTGAAGAATTGATAGAAAAAAACAACATACAATCAATGAAATAATGTTTATCATCATAGATGAACTATACAAAATAATAATAATAAAAAAATAAAATATTATTTTGGCACTCGAATATTTTATAAAGATAGCAATCTGTTACTGACGTATTTTATCAAATCATGAGGTAACAGAACAAATTTTTTGTGTTGGTCAAATGAACAACCTGAATACTAGTGATCAATGAGAGAGGGCAGTAGCATTTGGTTTGAATAGAATATTTACACAATTATATTTGATTAATATTATATCATTATTTTAAATAAGATTATTTAGTAACACAAGTTCTTGACAAAATATGCATTTTTTGTCGCTAGTAGTGGTGTAAGATCACTAGTTGATTGTTATTAGTACAGAACTCATGATCATCACATGTTCTATATTATATTTCAAGTAAATGCGTAGTGTGGTTACTTCCATTCAGTGAACATTTGCCATAAATAAACATAAATATTTCATCATATGTTTATTTTTTATATTTGATCGATTAAAACTAATAAAAATTTATCGTCATTTACTTAATTATTATATGAAATGATTCACATAGTTATTGAAGTATCTTTTTGTATTCTTTCTAGTAAATAACTCTCACATTAATGTCGTTTGTTAATTTTATTTTCTTTCTCACATGACCTTTCGTTACCTTGTGACTATATTTAACATGCGACAAGGGTGAATGGAAGAGAGTATAAAAAAGAAACAAAAAACATAACTAAACCTTTTCATCATTTATTTTCAGAAGAAAGAAAATAATGTCTGTGAAGAAAACTGCAAATTTAGGTCAAACTAGTATTTTGACAAAATTACCAAATATATTAAAATGTAATGGTCCAAAACTTGTACCATTTTTTAAAACAGTCGCAATTTTTTTTATACTTTTTCCAAAATCTAAATATAAAACTGCTGATATGTTTTATTTAATATTTAAATGTTTACCAATATGTTCATTAATTTTATTTATTTTATTACATGGAATTAATTTACGTGGATTTGAATATTCTTATTCAAGAAGAATTTTAACGGGTTTAGCTTTTTCATTACTTGGGGACGCATTACTTGTCTATGATCATGCATTTTTTATTCATGGTGTTTTAGCATTTGGCATATCACATATATTGTATGCAACTGCATATGGTATGAGACCATTAAGAGTATTTATGTTACCATTCATGGTATTACCAGTTATTGTTATTTATTTAATGCTGTCCGGTGTTCTCTATAGACCATTGTCGTATGTAGTGAGTAATTTTTAAGTGAATTTTTTTTTTGAATGTTGAGTTCATTTGTTTGCTTTTTTGTGAATAGATTTATGCTTATATTGGTTTAACTATGTTTATGATATGGAGAGCAATGGCAAGAATAAAAATCGATAATAATGAATGGACATGGACACGATTTTATAGTTTTTTGGGTAAGATAAGAATCAATCATTTAATTACAAAACCAAAATCATTACCTTTTAGGTGGTATACTCTTTGCAACAAGTGATGCACTCCTTGCACTCGATCGTTTTGTAACTCCATTAGCACATTCTCAAATTCTTGTTATGACAACATATTATGCTGCGCAATTACTTATTGCATTATCGGTAGTTGATTCACATGAAGATGTTGAAATGAATTTTTGTGTTATACAAGAAACAGATATAATTAAAATTATTCAAGAACATGGTAAACTATTATCTCAAGTACATCCTGATGATTTATTTACATTGTTGTCTGCTAAACATGCATATATTAAACAAACAGTTGCAAATACACAAATAAGAGCAATATTAATGGAAAAACGAGTACAAATTGGTCAAAATATTGATTTATTTTTAAGTCGTACACCTGTGATGTTATTTGTTAAGGCAGAACAACACAAAAAAAGAATAATTAACAAACAATCAATTAAGTAACTAAATGAGAGCAATAGAAACAGTAAATATTATGAACATTGTACATAGCAGAATATTCTATAAAATGAATGGTAAATCTCCAGTTATTTTAATTTCTTTTACTTTTTATCATTGTTAATGAATTGGTCTATATATGTGTATATATATCTATGTATGTTTTCGTTTTCTTTATGTATAAAATGAAATATATTTTCAATCAAGCAATAAAATTGTTTCGTATATATATATTCTTCAGATAAAATTTTGATTTGAGTTATATTCATTAATGATGATATGTACGATCGAATTGTGTAAAAGATTTTAGATGAAAATAATTGATTTTGATTTGAGTTTGAGTATGAATTTTATAGCAATTAAGAAATATACGTTGAGCATGGATTATTATTAAAATTTATTATTTTATACTTACAATGGAGGTGTTTGTACTGTCCGCGAGAAAAATGGCACACATTCGAGTCAAATGAAAGCTCTCACCACCAAAGTAATAAGATTAAAATATTAGCTGCTGTTGGTTAGCCTAGAGTGAGATATTCGATTTTTAAGGTATTCACGATTTGGGTATATAGAAACATAGGATGATTTACATTAATTTGTTATTCAATCAACTGTGTATTTCAGCAGTAGACTAGAAGAACCTTTTTGAAATTTATCAATAGCATTAAGATTACATTAGTTTCGATGCCTTATGGAACTTAAGTGGTATCGGAATGAAAAATAAGGTATATGATGTGTTTGAAAAATGACTTGTATGTACAATTTAAAATTAAAGTGCTTTGATGCATCACTTGCTGGTCTATTAATCATTTCTTTGCAATTGGTGTAAAGGAATTACAAAGAAATATACTATCGAAGAAATATTCTCTTTCATTCTCTGTTTTATCTACCAACTAAAAGGTTTATTTTATCAAATTAAATCATGAATTTATTGAACATTGCTAAACATCTTCTCTATTTGGCTCAAACTGATTAGTTAATCATTTTGTTTTGATAATTTTTATCGTGAAGATATAACACAACTTCCTCTTTCACACTTTTCCACATCTAGATATTTTTTATGAATTCTTATAAGATCAATGTTAAGCCCCCCCCCCCCCCTCAGAAACGAACTTTGCTATTTTTCATCCGATTTCAACCAAAATTTCAGAGAATGTTAGTCTTGACTACAATAGCTTATGGTTAAAATATCTCCCCCAAATCTCGAAGAAATGCACAAGTTCTAGTCAATTCATTATCCGTTACGCGGGCAAGGATTTTGCAATAAGGATACGAGCTAACAAGCTCGGACGGTTTTCAAGTTGTAGAGTACCCTTAGGGCTAGGACTTAACAGGCTCCGATTTTTGAATTTCCCTTTATTTGATTTTTAAAAAACATTTTTTGAAAAATATTCGAATTCGAAGTGCTCATAGAAATGAAATATCCAAGTATTTTATTTCAGTAAGAGACAAATTTTAAAATCGGAGCCTGTTAAGTCCTAGCCCTACATGTCTCCTATATAATAAAAAAAAATTATCACTTCCATGTCGAGTCGTTATGGAGAAAAACCTGCCCGCGTAAACTGCATGACGAAAAAACCAATTTTGAGAAAAACGAAAAATAAGTATTAGAAAGCGATTTTTCCGAAAATAACTTGATTTATATATCAGCGTTCAAGACAGGCTATAAATATGTGATCTTAATATTATGTTTTAATAGTCTCATAGTGATTAGTATAAAAAAAGACTTTACGAAATGCTGATGCGAAGAGAAAGAAGCCTAAAAAGTCAAAAAACCTTGAAAAAAACACCATGAAAATTTTTCGAAAAATGTGATAGTAGACGCCAAGTTTTAGGCGATAAATTCGTCAAAATCAATTCATTTTGCAATAAACCATAGATATTCCGAAAGAGGGGACTTCGTTGCATCTTCCTATGATAAAACTTCAATTTCGGCTTATCTTTGAAAAATTGGATTTTCTGAGGGGGGCCTTAAGAAATCAAATTTATCTTTGAAATGTTCGACAATCCTATCGGATAATCTATTTGCAGATAACAAAGATAAAATAGTATTACATAGTCGTACAACGATGACGAAGTCTAATAATATTTGTCAATATAAAGAATCACATTTTTCTAAGAAAGACATGAAACCTATGTCGATTAATTTTTTATATGATAATATGGGATATGATTAAATTCATCAATCAAAATGAAATAGGAATCCATACTGTCATGTCACGTACTAAGGACGTACGATAGGTATTATCTATATATGCGTTTGTTCTCTTCGTCCTGTTAGGTATTTTTCTTAGTGTTTTCTCTTGGCTTTTTCCTTCTTTTTTTACTCTCTTGTATGTGATTACCTGGTATATTCCAAGTTTTTTAGGATATACCTTAGGATAATCCATTGATATTATATGATCTCAGATATAAATATCCGACAGTTGTGTGTGTACGGGACTCTTGTAGCCCTGTTTGTTGGAATAAACCAGATATACACATCAACAGATCGTGTTTTTTGGATATAATACATATATACTCAAGTTTTCCAGTAATAAATTTTTTTATTTTTTCAGTGTATGAAAGATTTGGATTACTGTATCATTCATAAATTTACAGAAAATAGCGTATTAATAATACTCTGATTCAAAATGAAACCTTACCTTTTCTTCTTTCTTTACTAAATAATGTAGATATTATAATGAAGTCTCTCAACTACCTCGATCTAGTATATATTTGTATGTATTATGTCTGTAAATAATAGGAAAAAATACAATGGTTATGCTTTCCTTATTTTATTCATATACAATTTAAAGACATGACAATTTAATCCACCAGACTTTGCACCGAATACATTTTTCTGCAGCTATATCTGTTGCTACACTTGCTGGCCTCCCCACTGAGGGTCCGTGAAAAAAGACGAGTAAAGAGGATCAATGTGGGGTGGGTGCGGGTGTGGGTGTGGCGGAGCACGACGATTGTGTGTAAGACTATTATGTGTATGGACAATTGCGTGTAAGGCAATTGTGTGAATGAACAATTGTGTGCAAAATCAATGTGTATGTAATATGTGTAAATAAATAATTTTGTCAAAACAAGACAATGAATAAAAGAAAAGTAATCAAAATAACAAAAATAATTC